CTTTTATAAGAAAAAAAGAACAATTTATGTTTCAAAGTCAGTTTTTCACCATATGATTCATACATTTATAAATGTCATAGTTTATAAACTAAATATTTTACTTACAAATTAAATATTTAGTTAACAAGATAAATATTTAACTTGTGACTTAAATGTTTAGCTTCAAACTTAAATATTTAGCTAGCTACCTAAACATTTAAGTTAAATGTTTAGTTTTGAGCTAAATYTTTAYGTTAAATATTTAAGTTAAATATTTAAGTTAAGCCTTCGACCAGGCTCAGTGAAGGGAACAGTCAGAATGAGCTCTGAAGGCCTCTGACTGTGGCTGAAATATCCTCAGTTTGTGCTCCTGCCTCCAGGAAGGTCTGAGTAATGAGCAACACTTCCTGCCTCCARAATGTGACAGCCCTGCAGGAGAACATGTCAGTTTGTCAGGAGGAGAAAGACGAGTCAGGTGGACTGAGCTCAGGTGGAGCTAAAGCTCTTTAAATAAACTGACCGAGTGCAGCCGCTTCAGTCAGCAGCCTTCAGGACATTTACTGTTCCTGAGAGACGAATGAGCGCTGAAATCAGGTTCTAACAGACAAAAACACTAGCTAACAGCTAAAAAGGCTAAGGACTAACTCAATAARAATGAAGCTTTAAGTAGTAAAATTTCAGCTTAATAAACAAAGTTTTCAACAAAAAGTCTCTGAGGGGAAACAACAGATGCTGAATCAGTTATCAGTTATATGAACATTTACACCTTGCTTCCTGTTTTACTCATTTATATTTGATTATTTTTATTTTTCAGGTTTTATCAGAAGATGTCAGAGATGTTAAAAAAGACTTTTTACAACTTGAAAAGCTCAGGAAGTCCCTCACGGTGCCTTCCTGTGCTGAAAGCCAAAGCAACATTTCTGAGGGGGTGTGTGACCTCCAGGACCAGGAGGGGGCGACAGAGAGCAGCATGGAAGAACACCTGCAGGTGGAAATGATTGAAGGGAAGCCATCAGTTCAGACAGAAGTCAGGCAGCTGACACTGCAGGTGTGCACCGTACAGGTAACATGAAAGTACCTGACATGTCACCACATGTCTGAGTAATGGAGCTGACACTTGTCTCAGTCACAGAAACAGTTTTGTCTCTCAGGACTGTGAGGACAGGATGTCAGAGTTGGCTGCCAGAGATAATGACCTGCAGAGGACGACYCAGACACAGGAAACTGCTGCTGCAGGTGTCAGTTCACCTGTCGGAGCAGTTTGGACTGACCTCAGCAGGTAAAGGCTGCATCCTGCTCAACCAACACTCAGGATTAATGTTGTTTTACAGCATGGATGAAGGAGTTACTCAGAGAAAAACACGTTTTATTGCTCTTTAGGTGAAAGTAAATAAAAWTAAATTTAAAATTTTATCTGAAAATATGTCTCTATTCTGTCTGAAACTAAAACATATGTTTCTGATGAGGATTGTAGCTGCTGTCCCAGATTTAGTGGGATTAAGATTATTTCTGTAAATGATGTGAAACTTTACCTTTGATACGTAACATTTGACTTATTATCACATGTAAAGAAGCTCTGTGTCTGTCCCCCCCTCAGGTCAGGTGTACCTGAGGAGCAGCAGCAGTGGAGCCGGACTGAGACCAGGTCACTCAGCCAGGTAAACAACTCACCTGTCCTTTATCCTGTTGTTAAACAGCTGAAACCTTTTGTCATCTTAAAGTCTTCTTTGTTTCCAGGCAGGTAGTTCAGTTACCTGCTGTTGTTCTGAAGAAGTGTGACTTTACATCAGAGTCTATATAAACACCTTCACTCTGCCTCTTTAACAACCTCCTACCGTTTCTGACACTTCCACTTCAGCATGTCTTCACAACAATGCTTCGGGGGTAGGGGTGCTCTGTGGGGCGGGGGCTCAGCTGCAGACTGAGCTCCAGGGAAGAGCTTTGTGTAAATGGGCGGAGCTTTGTGTAAATGGGCGGAGCTTTGTGTAAATGGGCGGAGCTTTGTGTAAATGGGCGGAGCTTTGTAGCAGCAGGTGTTTAGGCAGCTGCACATGTTTACCACAGCAGATAAAAGGATTTGTCCTGCAGGCATGAATGATTTAATGAGGGAAGGACTTTATAACTTATAGAAACAGCTCCGCCCCTTTAAGATAAATATCTCGTGAAGCGGTCCACAGATAGYTTTTCATTAAACTGTCAGGCAGGGATCGACAAGCAGGTAACTTTTGGAGCTACACCATTCAAGATGGCCGCCACAGCTACCTGACATCATGTAAACAGTTTGAGTCTGACTCAGGTTTTTGTGCCTTTGAGCACTGCTTGAAGCATCTGGAGCTGCAGAGAGCAGAGATCATTAAAGCAGCTTGTTTTTGTGTCGGCTGAAGTTTCTGCTGATGATTCAGCTGCTCTGTGATCAGCCGGGACCGGACGTGTCTCCTCACAGGTTTTAAATGTCACCTGTCCATCCTCTGACCCGTTAGAGCCAAGGAAAATATCTGACTTTTTAAAACTGCAGCGAAGTTTTCTTCCACTTTTAACAGGAAGCTTTGGTTCTTTTTCTTCTCTATTTCTAAAATAACTAAGTTTTGTTTGTTTGGGTTGAAAAGAAATGAGTAAAATTCTGAAACAAACTGTCTGTCAGGAAACATTGAAGAGGATAAATGTGGAAAAGCCACTGTTTGACCTGGTGAATGCCTTTAGTTGTTCACCTGGAGCTGCACAGGTTCWGTTTGTCTCTGATCTCTGATGTTTTCTGAACGATTACATCAAATAATTTTACAACTCTTTTTCCACTCCTGCTTGTTTGAGTCAAACTTTGATCTTTCTTTAGTTTTTGTGATTTTTCTGTTTGTGATAAATATCAGGTGAACCCTCTGACTCCTCCTCCTCATTGCTCCACCTGCTCTCTGCCACAGTTCACACCTGAGTCCAAACCCAGACACCTGAATAGGCTCCGCCCCTCTTTGTTATCAAGTAATCAGATCTCTTTGTTTTTGGTCGTCAAACCTGTCCGGTTCGGTTTTCACAGCAGCAGAAGACTTCCTGGTCTCTGGAGGCTCTGCTTGGTCCTCCAGCCTCAGACCTGCTGCTGCAGGAGGCGGGAACACAACAGGAAGTTGTTTACCTGTAAACAGAGAGGCTGAACTGTGAGCCACCTGTCTCCTGTCTGTAGCCTCACATGCCACAACACATGGACCCTGAGAGGACAGCACCTGGCTCACCTGCCCACCTGGGACCTGCACAGGTGACAGGGGGACTCCCAGAGTCCTGCAGACCCGGGTCCACCATGCAGGTTTGGTCTGACGTTCAGGACTGGCTTAAAGAAAATAACATAAATGTGAGTATCAGCTGGCTGTTGTGTACTGAAGTATTATGTGTGTCTTTCTGTGTATTGTGTGTAAAGTGTGTGTGTYTTATTAATACTAGAGAGACACAAACAGTCCTTGTGTGTGTCAGCATACTGGACCCAAAAACCTGGTTCTGATTCTGATGTTAACCAGAAAATGAAAGCTCCAATAATCTGATGATGATAATATTAATAATAATAATGATAATAATAATAATAACGTCTCATATGAAAACTGAATGAATTAAAAAACATGTTTGTTCTTTATGTCCTTTAACACTTTAAACTCAAATGACCGTACTTTAAAATAATAAAATTTTCACAGATAAAAGTGTTGATGTTTGAATTTGTTTCCATGTTGTTGCTCAAAGAGAAACAAACAGGAAAGATGAGTGATTTCCTCTGAGGTCATCAGACTAATTATCCTCAGGAAACACAACAAAAAGGCTCAAACTGAAAATGTTCAGCTAAGAGCTGAAAAAACAACTCACAGATAAATAAATGTGAGCCGTCACATCAGAACAAGGATTAAGTACAAATGTTTTATAAGGAGAAAAATGCAAATATAGTGTTTTGACTAAAATGTTAACAAAAAGTTCATTTAGTCAAAACAT